TATATAAGCCTACAACTATATTGTATTCCTACCATTTTAAGTTCAAATTTGGATTCTCTTAGCAACTTAACCTTATTCATGAGGATGAACAACACAGCCATTTGTTAACATGACGTCCGCTTAGTTTATTCTTTAAGAAGATTAGGCTTTCATCTGTAAGGTCGCAACACCAACTTCATATTTCTAGGATTGCTCATGAGGTTAGAAGATTTTCCACTAAAATAAATCTTTCTCATTTCTTCTGCAGCTCTTCCTCCCAAGCCAACAAAACCCATGACACCAGTAAATGGCAACGGTGTGAAAGAAGCCGCCAGCGGCTCATTGCAAGAAGCAGAATGGTACTGGGGAGACATATCAAGGTAAGAGTCACTTGACACTCGACTTCATTTCTCACTTGATTGGATTTCTGTCTGTTCTGCTCTGAAAATCTTTCCTCATGCCAGTTAGCTCATAGTGTGACTGCCCTCATCACGTGGTGGACACGTACGGCAGTGTGCAAGTCAGGTGATAGTTGGCCAGTACAGTCATAAGACTGCATTTGGATCAGATGAAAAGTTCTCTGTGTTGTTACTTGACTGTTGGGAGATGTCAGATCTTCCCATCCCTCCACCTGATGGCTTCCAAGTTGGTAGCCTGAGGTAGAGTCAGCTCTGCAGTGTCATGTTGCTCTTTCAGCTGCTCTGCAAACTTTTTCCGTTCTTTTTCTTTCTTTATGTGAGCTGGTGAACTTATTTTGATCCTCTCCTCTTCTTTTGGCTCACTTATCCTGGAGGCATGTATGCTTTGCCGCAGCTGTACAAAAGCAGAAAGGCAATACAGTGGGGGAGAGACACAGGAAGAGCTGAAAAGAGAAAGACGGGGTGGTTTAGTTGCCATTACTTAAGGGGAGGGATAGAAGAACCCAAATCTCCAAAATGTCAAGCTGTCTGGCCAGTTTCCAACACAACCCATAAAACTCTCAGGTTTTAGCAGATTAGTTTGCTGCTTAGTGACCAGCTTTAGACTCGTTTGATGTTGGGCAAGTAGAAATTCTGCAGAGATGCTCAGAGGCTCACCAATCTCTGAAGCCCTGCTATCCTTTAACTCACACAGTCCCTTCTGCAGATAAACCAGATCTGCTTTTCACGTCAAACCTATGCTCAGTGCTTACTAGTTTCAAAATCAGAAAGTAACTCAGCTCTAGGCATCAAATAAAGAACTCCAAAGCACAGTGATGCCAACTGTTACATTTTAAATATGGACTGCCATTATGGTCTCGGTGAAGAATGTGTTAAAAATCCTATTATAATATTACTACTATACAACCATACTAGTACTTAGTTAAAGCAGTGGTAGTGCATTGAGAGATTTAACTTATGAGAGATCAGATTTAAATTTTAGTTGAGTACATAGTAATGGTTCTCAGCCATGTTAATCATCAGCATGCCTGTTGTGGATTTCTGATTTTCTTGTAGGCTTGAGCTTAGATGAAATCAAAATTGACTATTTATTTACAATATGAAGGCCTACTCTTTCATTTGTGTGCAAAATTGTGCCTGTTATTCCACAGATATGTTTGTCTCGATAATTTTGATAAACAATTATTATTAAGTGATTATTAAGGCTGCATAACTTCCAATAATTTTATTGAATTTGAGTCATTGTCCAAATATCTCCTCTATCCGGATGTTTTTGAATGCAAAAACACATCCCAGATTTTCCACTTCACACTGACGTTACTGCTGCTTGCCAAACAGGCTACTAAAATAGGACACCTCCCCTAAACAATTAACTTGCTGATGCACTGCAGCCTAAAAATGCACCTGATTCCCACAGCTCCCAGTGCAGGATGTAAGAGAAGCCTCCTCCCCCAGAAAGGTGGGAGCACTGCTTAGTCAAAGACTCCTTACCTCAGCAGCTCAAAGTAGGCTAAATATACCCCCTCCTGAGAGCCAGGGCCGGGGTCAGCTGAGCTCCAGCATGACTAGGCTGTTGGCTGTCGGGAGAATGGGAGGAGGCCTGGAAGTCGGGGGGTGTGACATTCCTCCCAGACAGACTAAAATAGAAGGGGGCAAAAAAGCAGGATAGTCTTTGAAGCCTGACAGCTCCTCCACTGGTCGTCTGGAGGCACTTTTAAAGAGAAAGACTGTCTGATTTTAAGACAAGAGCTGGAGGCATCGGCGTACATGTGGGTGTGCAGGACGGGGTCAACAGTTAAACCATTCAATTCACTCTCTCCCAGACGGCTGTAGCAGACAGTATGGTCACAGACCAGTGCCTTTGCCCTCTGCCAGACCAAATTTATTTATACAGCCAGGCATGTTTTTTTGCGTGTGTGTCAGCCCTTTCCATTTAGTATAGGACAGTCCACGGAAAACTTATTTTAGCTGTAATTATTAATTATTAAGCGCAAGATTTGATGTGTGGAGTATGTCTTTTTTTCTGTGCAGGGAAGAGGTGAACGACAAACTGAGAGACATGCCCGATGGTACTTTCCTGGTACGGGACGCCTCGACCAAGATGCAGGGAGATTACACACTAACGCTAAGGTAACTAATATTTTGGAAAGCTTCTACTTGTTTAAAACCCTCTCCATTCAGCTTACATTGATCCGTGGTCCAACGCAATCTTTTTTCCCTACAGGAAAGGTGGAAACAATAAGCTAATAAAGATCTACCACCGGGATGGGAAGTACGGTTTCTCAGACCCGCTCACGTTCAGCTCAGTGGTGGAGCTCATCAGTCACTACAGGAACGAGTCACTGGCCCAGTACAACACCAAACTGGACGTAAAGCTCATGTATCCCGTCTCCCGCTACCAGCAGGTAAATGGGTTTAGATTGAGGGCGGGAGTATCACATTTACAGCCATCCCTTCCTTTCCTTTTACCTCTATGTCCTCCCACCTCTCCCTCCCTCACTCCGGCCCTAAAGAGCGTGTTTGCTGAATGAATTGTGCAGCTTGTTGTGAGTGAAACTGCAGAGGCAGCAGGATGCTTTTGGCATGAAATATTACTTTGTTTATTGCCACAGCAGCGCACCTCCTAAATAATTGCACACATCCACAATGTCGAAAGGCCATCCAGGCATTTATTCGTTTCCCCCTCCTCCTCCTCCTCCTCCTCCTTCACCCTCCCGGTATCTTTCTCAGACACACAGGTGCTCATTATTTAGGGGGTTCCACAAATGTAAGCCCTCGAGAGGCACTTACAGATTCCAAGATTTTTATTAATGATTCCTGGAAGAAAATTCCTGAAAAATGGCTTTCACTTTGTAAGCAAAACCTACAGTATGTTGCTGCGAGCAGTCCTTTTTTTTTCCTATCGCACTTTTCTTCGCTCAGCAATTCATATCAATAACAATGCATTTTACTCTCGCTCTCTCAGGATCAGCTGGTGAAAGAGGACAACATTGATGCAGTGGGGAGGAAACTCCAGGAATATCACAATCAATATCAGGAGAAGAGTAAAGAATATGACAGACTCTACGAGGAGCACACAAAAACCTCACAGGTAAGCCTCTTAGAACACCGCTATCGGATCGATAGACAACCGACCCATTAACTCCAGTGCTAAACGCCACATGCACAAACTATTTATTCCATTACAGAAGCTCAATTAACCAAGTCTATTAAGAGGCACAGCATCACATCCATTGATTTATCTTTCCTTTGATTGCAGGAGATCCAGATGAAACGTACTGCAATAGAGGCCTTCAATGAGACCATTCAAATTTTTGAAGAACAGTGTCACACGCAGGAACGCTACAGTAAAGAATACATCGAGCGATTCCGCAGAGAGGGCAATGACAAAGAGATTGAAAGGTACGCAAAGTCTTCAATTAAGAGCGCTTTGGTCGGCAACCTTGATCTGTGGGTTGACAAATCGCTCTTGTTTCTTTTTCAGGATCATGATGAACTACGAGAAGCTCAAATCCCGTCTTGGCGAGATTCATGACAGTAAGACCCGGCTTGAACAGGACCTTAAAACACAGGCTCTGGACAACAGGGAGACGGACAAGAAAATGAACAGCTTAAAGCCAGATCTCATTCAGCTCAGAAAGATTAGAGATCAGTACCTTGTGTAAGAAGAACATTCCTTTGCACCTCATTTCGTCATCTTCATTGTTGACAGTTTTTCCTCCATGTATAAACACTCCACTGCTTCTTTCTCATGCAGCTGGCTCAATCATAAAGGTGTTCGACAGAAACGAATAAACGATTGGCTGGGGATCAAAAACGAGAACACGGATGAGTAAGTCAAATTGTCGTATATTACTTGAAATTTGAGATCAAATGACTGGCTCCATCACAGCATCTAATACATTTCCTGTCGCAGCACCTACTTCGTCAGTGAGGAGGATGAGAATCTGCCACACTACGATGAGAAGAGCTGGTTTGTGGGGGACCTAAACCGAACGCAGGCTGAGGACTTACTACACGGCAAACCCGAAGGAGCCTTCCTCATCCGCGAGAGCAGCAAGAAGGGCTGTTACGCCTGCTCTGTTGTGTGAGTATCTTAAGATGTAGACATAGTGAGGTTATAGTTATGCCAATGAAATGGGAGAATGATGATTCTTAAGTGTGTGTGTGTATAGCGCTTTTCACAATACAAATCGTTGCAAAGCAGCTTTACAGAAAATTTAAGTTTCTATTTTCAAGTTTCTACATTTAGTTGTAGCTTATGAGCGGTGACTGTCAAGTTGATGTCCATATGGCAAAAATTTACAGTAAAATTCATGCAGTTAGTTAACGACATGTAATCAGACAGACGGTGAACACTATTTACTGCAATGATTGTTGCGATTAAACTTATAGCAAAATTTGGTAGTATTAAGTCAATTTTGTCATGTTACAGTTTGTCTATTTTACAAAAATAGCATGTAGTTTAAAAGAAAATTACATTTACATTAATGATAGTATATGAAATGATAAACTCGCATAAAAATTTTAACATTAAGGCCATTTCAGTCTATTTTTTTTTTTTTGTCTCCTTAAGTTCAGATCTAGTCTCATATTTACATTCTCTGTCCCCAATTTTCCATCTCATCTCCTCTGTTTTGATATCAAATAGGCATATATAAAATTAGATGTATTTTTCATAGACATTTCAATGTTAAGACTCTACCTTTCCCCAGCTACAAGAAACAAATCAATGTATAGATCCTCTTTGATTATTATCACCTCTAGAGCGATATTAACTTTGGTTGTCATTGAGCAAATGGATTGCCTTTATCTTTGTCTGAGGTCAGATTCTGGTTTGAAATGACATTGATAGTGAGATCTGTCGTGTTTCTGTCTGTAGTGTGGACGGCGAGGTGAAGCACTGCGTCATCTACAGCACACCCCGCGGCTACGGTTTCGCCGAGCCCTACAACTTGTACAGCACTCTGAAAAACTTGGTCCTGCACTATCACCAGACCTCACTGGTCCAGCACAACGACTCGCTCAACGTGCGGCTGGCGTACCCAGTGTATGCACAGATGCCCTCAGGCCCTCGGAGATGAAGACTCGCCCCCCCCCCCCCCCCAAAAAAAAAAAAAAAAAAAAATCCCATTAAATGTTTGTGAATGTGAAAAAAGCAGAAGGAAGCAGAGGAGGCGAGTTTCAGGTGACCCGTACTGCTTCCTAAACTCCAGCTGAGACTTTTTACATGCTCCATTTTAGCTTTTAGCTTAAGCTTCTTTTTTTTTTCCTGCCTCGGTTTTCTCACATTTCTCTATTTTTCATTCAGCTGTTTTTTTTTTCTTTTATTTCTTTGCATTGTCTTTGCAAAATTCTTAATTAACTATGTGTAAAGCAGGAAAATATTTAGTTTGTTTAAATGTTTCCATCTCTCTCTTTAAGTGTTTAAAAAAGGCAAAAACTGTAGCAAACAGACGACTGACACTTTCCAGAGTGTTCTCACAGTGACTGCTGCTGAACGTGGGGTTGTGGGATGGTTTGGGAGGGCACAAGTGAAAATGTGTTGTAGGCTTAAAAACAAAAGTTTGTTTTAACTAACATTAGAGGGGTGTTTTTTTTGTGTGTCCTTGTTTTCTGTTTGGCTGGATCAAAAATGTTGTCCTTTCCTAAGCAGTTAAGATCGCTACAGCTCAGTGCAGAGACCAAAGTTGGCAAGGGAGGACCTTTTTTTATTTTTTATTTTTTTACTAGTGATAAAATTGACTTGTATTAATTGAGCGAAATTACACTTAATACACCTAGTTTGCAAACTACTTGAAATAGTTTGGATCTGTGTCCTGTGAACAGAAGCGCCACATTTTTTAAGAACCAAAATCGCATGCACAGACACAGTCGACATAAAGCACTTTTATAGAAATGACAACTGACTGCTGCACCAAAATTGAAAAAAACAGAAACAATTACTCGTGGTTTTTAACTGATGTGGCATCTTAATGCTTAATTGGATTTGTGTACCTGTCAAACATGTTCAAAAGATGTTCTTCAGTAAGCGGGAGCAGTGTTCGAGCAGATGTGCTTTAGTACGTAACTTGAAAAAAAGTGCAATCCAGCTTTTGATGGTAGAGAAGTGGTCTGTCAGAGAGATAAAACAAACTGCTCTCAGTGGCATCAAAAAGCGATAATCACTTGAACCTTTTAAAGAATTACCTTTTAAAAAAAAAAAGCCCCTTTGTTGCCTAGTGCTTCTCTCTTTAGCAGGTTGACTCATTCTGTATCAGAAAAGCGATATTACACTTTTCATTGTTTGGTTGCCTGTTAGTTTTAATGTCGCACAATAAAACCTTTATGAAAATATTCAAAGCTATATGCACAAGATTCACTGTCGGTACATCAGTTATATCACTTCCTGTTTTTGTTGGGCTTCTGGCATGCAGGTGTCTAGTATTGAAGTTCACATTGTTATTTTTCGTTTTCTCCCACAGTTTCCCTTTTTTACAATTGAGTTGTATAAGCCTGTTACAGTCTTACAGGTCATTAACCAGCACAGACAGCCCTCACCCACCACTGCAACTACCCGTCTCACTCCTCGCACAGCATGCTGTGTTAGAAAAAGCAGCATATAGTGAATTCAACTGAAAATTTAATTACATTATTTGTCAAAACACTCTAATGGCAATTTCTAACTATTTTATGTTTTGGCAAATTGGTGGCAAATTCAAACAACTGTACCGTTTTGTACGATCTGCTTACACCCCATTTACGTTTAGGTTTGGGTGGAAGTTTTCATATGAATCAAAACAATTGCCAAATCGTAAATTTTTTCTGTGGAAAGCTTTTGGTTACGGTGTATATCATAGGTCCAGCTTTATTTTCATTTTATTCTATCCTCCAAATGGTTTGAGTTTCAGATTTGTGTTTTTTGTTTTATTAAGCCTGGCCCCAGAGGGGCCCCTGTCTATTACTTGAACTCTTGCATCACTCACCATTGAATGTCTTTAATAATACATAGATACATTTATTAAAACGCAGGAAATCCCTTTTATGGCATGAGTGGATTGAGTATAAAACGTGTCTGAACATGTTTACTCTTCAGCCTGGAACTCAACTTGTGTGTTTTGTTGAAAGTAAAGGGGCTTATTTATGTTCACAGAGCTGATTATTGGAGTCCAGTATAGCACACATCATATTTGAATAATCGTTTGGAAAAAAATGTTTTAATCACTTTTTTGCTACATTTATTAGCGTTTTCCCAGGCGTTGAGACCAAAGATTTAAGTTTGGTTTGTTTTATTTTCTTGGGTAGCTCTAGTGTTGAAGAGACACATACTTTTCTTCCCTTGTATTTCAGTTGCCTTGCTTTCATGCAAACTTAATTTTGGGTCTTAGTTTTTGGGTTGCTATCGCTAGCCCATCACTTGTCTGGCAAAATAACAATGTCTTTATTACTGTCCGTATATTGAAGGGTTCACTGTGGATTGGCTGGGGGTCAATTTTTTGCCATTTAAAAAAAAAAACAACTGATGACAATTTGTTTGCCGAAATGATATGTAGTTTTGTTAAGCCTCAAATTGAACAGTCTGGCCTAAAGCTGATTCATTTTTGCACTCACTTGTTTGTAAAAGATAAATGCTTTTGTGTCTCTAAAGTTACCAAAATCAAGTGTTTCTATGCCTCTTTTCTTTACAGAATAGTCTTGCGTTCACTCCAGCTGGAGGCATTGTTGCTTTTTCTTTCTGTTTTGATCAATTCATTAAAGAAAACAGACAACCCTATACCACACAGAAATGTATGGTTTCTTTAGGAAAAACAGAAAAGTGATTGTCATTCTCTGCAGGGCAGAAAGCAGTGGGGTTTGTTGGTTTTCTTTGTTCCTATACTCAAGAAAACATGAAATATTCTGTTTTTCTTTTTCCTTCCGGACGTTTTCAGGGACATGAAAAGCATTGCATTGGGAATTCGTATGAGAGACATTTACTAGAGTGCTTCTTTTTGTATTGAAGTGGGAATGGGGGAAGTGCACACATTATAACAAGCCGACAGAATCAACAGTGCATTGCTTCAAAAGCTCAGAGGGTTTGGACATGTACCAAAACAACCTTTCTTGACTCATAAACGCTTGAGTTTTCAGTTAGACTCTGTACAAAGCAGGTGTTATGACTAGAAGACCTGGCTAAGTTTATTTCCGGACTGTTAACTAGCACTGGCTATTGCCCCCTTGTGCAGTTCTGCAAAGTTTTATTTGCAGTCAGGTTTGAATATGTTGTGATTCTCAATGGGAGTCTTTTGTGTTCTTACCACAGCTGTCCCACCATGATTTCCAGCACATTTCTTATATATATATATATATTAAAAAAAAAAAGGTTTTCAAAAAAGGAAAAAAAAAAACTATCACTCGCCTTCCCACTTTGACATACGTAAAACCCAGCATGCTTCTTTGGTACTCTTGGCTGTTGTTTTGTGTAATAAAAACAAACAACCAAACAAAAAAAAGTAAAACTAAAAAAAAAAAAAGATGTGGAACAAAAACTGTTAATTGTCTGTTTATGGTGCAGTCAAATATAAATTTTAATAGAGCTTATGAAAAAAAGTCTGCTTTTTCAGCTGAAATAAGTTGGAGCCCTTTGCTGCAGTGACTAAAAGCAAAATGATGCTCACAAAAACTGAGACAGAGGAGCTGAAGCAATAGACAACAGTGTGTTCA